AAGAGAGGAAGTGGTGGCCCAGCATCGATCAAGCGCTTCGTCTACTATATCTGGTGTCACGGGCTGAAAGCGCTCGAGTGTCACTGGGCAAGGCGGAGCGCTAGACATCTCAACTCGATCCACTATATTTAAAGAAGGAGGGAGATCCGGCGGATGGCCTCCACTTTTGATTTTAAAAATGCTACAAATTGGTCAGGTAAGATATTAGAGGGAGGCCCATCACCCAGACCAGTATTCTACTTCTTGAGTATTTTAAATAAACTTACAGTCAAGATAGCCAAAGAATTACAATTCATTTGCACTAGCTGTGACTCACTAAACTAAACATAGTCAGCTAGTCAAATATTAGAGCCTAGTAGGTGCTTGACATCCTTTCTTCCTCCTTTTATATTGTCTTGGGCAAGTAAGGAAAATCAAGAAATGTTAAGCCACAACTCAGCCATTATAGCTTAATGGCAGATGCGTATTACACAGATCTCTTCCCTTATAAAAACACATCCTGTACCTATGTTTATAGCACCAGCACAAAACGTTCTGTTGGGGGGGGAGGGGGCAGGAGCAACAGAGTTGCCCTTCACTTACACTTCTACAAGTGTCTGCCTCACCCAAACGTAGACAACTTCTTTCTCACAAACACACATAAAAACATGCCAATCATGGGCAGTACAGTGGTGCCACACATAGCGACGTTAATCCGTTCCAGGATTAGCGTCGCTAATCGGATTCATTGCTATGTGGGGGGGGGGGGGAACCCAAAGGAACCCATTAAACTCTGTTTAATGGGTTCATATGGGGCAAAAACTCACCGCTATGCGAAGATTCCCCCATCCGGCCGCCATTTTCGTCACCCGGTAAGCGAGGGCAGGGCGCAAAAACGGAGTGGGCGGCCATTTTTTCTTCCGGCGGCCATTTTGGAACCGCCGATCAGCTGTTTTTAGAACATCGCAATGCGAAGATCAGTAAGCGAAATGCTTACCGATCATCGCAATGCGATGTTTTGCCATTCAAAACGTAGCAATGCGATCGCATAAGCGATCGCAAAAAGCGCATTGCTATGCGGATTCATCATTAAATGGTGCACTCGTTAAGCGAGGCACCACTGTACCCTATGCAGGACCTCAATGGGCACACTGTTCATCTGATACTGGACACTGCAGAAGAGTGTTCAGGGCTTAGGACAAAAAAGGGATTCCATCACAACTCACCACCAGGAGCCAGGCCAACTGCCAAGTTCTAGCAAACACATGTGAGCATTCTTCACCACCACTTTATAAGCCAGAGAGCCAACTATTTCAAATCCAGTTGCTCCTCATTCTCAACAGTTAACACCCACAAGTACAATAGTAACATTTTAAAAAATGCAGGATCGTAAGCGTTTTAATCAGTTGTTCACGTAACTATGCAGTGCCCAAGCAATAACTGCAGCTTTCAAAATTAAACAAAAATAAAGGCATGATTACGATGAATGAATTACTATTAAGAATGAAATATTTTTACTAGTATTGTACCATGAATCACAATACACAGTTTTGCTAAAAACTGCTACGTCCTGGAGAAGTCTGTGGCATTCTTCTTAATAAAGGAGCCAAAACAATGTTTGGAACCAACCCTTAATTTCTTCAGGGTTCTTGTAATGATTGGTGTGTGGGGAAGCAAAGTACATGGCTGCAAAACAGAAAATATATGAAAGGTGGCTAGAGGACTGCAATGGTTCTCTACTCTGCTTCTGGCCAAGGGCTTTCTCCTATCACCTTCTTCCGTCCCATTGCTGTGCCTTATAACCCACTTTGTCCAAGAAAACATACAAGTGTTTTGAGGAAAGTATGGGAGATACTGGAGTGGAAAACACTGAAGACAATGGGCTAGATTCCACATTGGTCCTACTTAGAGTATACCTATCAAATACAGGAGACTTGTCACACCTAAGGACCCATTGATCTCAATGAGTGCATTCTAAGTAGAACTAGTAAGACTGAATTCAATCCCAGGAAAATTCTGGAGCAGATTATAAAGCAGTAGCTCTGTCAGCACCTTGAGAACAAGGCAGTGATAACTGGATAGAACAATGATCAGGCAGATAAACAGTTTGTTACAGAATCAAACAGGTTGCGCAAGGCTCAGACCTGAGCCCAGTGCTCTTCCACATTTTAATTAATTATATTTCTATCCCACCCCTTTAGACAAAGTCTACTCCGGGTGGGTTCCATTAAACACTGTAAACTATAACAGTTAAAAACAATTCAAAACAATAATGATTAGTGACTGGGATGAGAAAAGTACAGATAAAGGTTTCTTACATGCTGCTCCAAAAATGGATTACAGGACGAAGCTAATTGGGACAGAGAAATTGAGACAAAGTTCCAAGAACAACTGAGGAGAAAATGAAAAAGCCCAATGACTGTTCTATTTCTTTTCTGCTCTTTCTCACACGTCCAGGCCTGTATTTTTCACACTTCTGTGCACCTCCATCCAAATTTTTCTCAGAAGTCCTCCTAAACTGCCCTGCTGGGCATCCCACTGACCTATCACAGGAGAGGATGAAATGAGCAACTAAGCAGGCAAGCACAGACACTATCACTACCTTGCTTTTACCAAGACTTTTTACCCTATCATCGGCAAGACTTGCGAGCAAAGAAAAGTGGAGGAATTTGCCCAAGCGCTTGAGGAAACCCTTCCAGGCCCGGCTGATGCAAATGCACCAAAATGATGGGAACATTTCAAGAACGCTGTGTATAACATCACCTTGTTCACATTTGGCAAGAAGACCAAAAAAGGCGGCCGAATGGTTCGAAGTCCATTCAAAGGAGTTTATGCCAGCCATCGAGGATAAGAGGAGAGCTCTAGCAGCATACAAAGCCTGTCCTAATGAGTACAACTTGCAAGCTCTTCGAGCTGCTTGTAGCCAAGTCCAACAGACTGCCAGGAGATGTTCCAACGATTACTGGCTTCAGCTCTGCTCTCAGATACAGATAGCAGCAGACACAGGTAACATCAAAGGTATGTATGACGGTATTAAGCAGGCTTTAGGTCCAATACAGAAGAAATCTGCTCCCTTGAAGTCTGCTACAGGCATGATCATCCAGGATCAAGCACAGCAGATGGACCGCTGGGTGCAGCACTACTCTGAGCTATATTCCAGAGAAAATGTAGTAATCAAAGAAGCATTAAGTAACATTGAGTGCCTGCCTGTCTTGGAAGAGTTAGAGAGTGAACCAACCTTAGCAGAAATAAAAGCGCCCTTGGATTCCCTCGCCTCCGACAAGTCACTTGGAAAGGATAACATCCCTGCTGAAGTGCTCGGGTGCTGTAAAGGGACCATCACCACAGTACTGTATGAACTATTTTATCTTTGCTGGAGCGAAGGTGGAGTACTACAGGACATGAAGGATGCAAACATCGTC